CAGCTTCACTTCCGTCCGTTTCTACTTCACTTCCGCTAAACGGTACATCAATTCTGAAATGAGATAAACGAAAACATAGATGTGCAGCAAAAAGCACGGTAAGATGTTGAGGATACCCACTCACCGTTTCTTGTCTTTCTCCTTGCTCTTCTTCGGCTTCGGTGTTTTGGGACCTTCAATGAAATCGGGAACGACGCTTTTGACTGTGCAAGGAGGATTTGGTTTCAAGTCCTGTAAAGATAGACGAGGTCTCCAACATTAGCAAAAACAAACCTACCTCAGTATGTTCGCTAAAGGCGGGGAAGGAAGGCTTGAGAGGGATGGGCGGAGGAGGAGCCGGTTCAACAAAAGTGGAAGGGACATTTGTGAAGATAGGACCAGGTGCTGGTACCTGAATACAAATTTTGGATAAATACAAAGACAGAAAGAAAAAAAGAACGAACTGTGTCACCCACATGTATCGACGCAGGCGTCTGATAAAACGAATGAGAAATCACAGGTTGTGTAGGGATTACAGGTACAGAGGGCATTGTTCGAGATGAGTCCATTAACATGGTGTCCATGGGGATGGGTAGCCTCGGTACAGTACGGGGTGCTGCTGTTAATGGAGTTGACTGGCGCGGAAGAGTAGCGGGAGCATATGTATAGCTAACGGGATTGGGAGGTGGAGGAACGAACCTGAAGGAAGAAAACACGGCTTTCAAGCATTTGTCAAACATTTTCTGTGACTAACCTAGGTGGGAAGTATGTTGGCTGCACTTCGACAAATCCTGGAGCAACCGTAGCATTCTCCTTACCGATCCATGTCGAAGTTACAGTAACAGGAGGCATAGGCTGTTCCTATAAAACAAGTTGAACAACAACTCGAAGAAACGATTAATTACTACTCACCATTATCGGGGAAATCTTGGGAGTTTCATCCGAAGCAGATACAAGAAAAGGATTTGTATTTCTCCGCGAAGCAACAGCGTCAAAGTCGGCATTTATGAACAACGATTTGGTGGCATCCTGGAGCTGCTGTTCTTGTGATGAGGAAAGCCCGTCGAAGATTTCCTGAGAAATTTGCTGGTAAAACAGATGAAAATACGAAGTTCGAGTCATTGATAAGGTAACTAGGTTACACAAGAAGGTCTAATCAGTTAGCACTTACTTCTTCGTCATCATCAAGAGCATCATCCTCGAGAAGTGGTCGACTACCAGTGCCATCATCATCACTGGCACCCGCTACATCGGTGTGCTGCGAAGACTCACAATCTCCGTTAAACTCGTCGAAAGATGACTCCTCTTCATTCTGAACTTTTGCGATGAAGACGTCACGATATTTTAGCAAAAAACAGACAGAACGAGAATGAGAAAAATACCCAACAACAATGGAATTGTAGATACATTTGCACTAACCTTACTAATTTCATCAGTACTGTCGTGATCCGTGCGCCCGCGGCTGTCGCTGCTTGCATCATCGCCTACTCCATCGATATTTTCATAGCTGAAACGTCGTCGTGCAACCATTCGCTGTTCATCCTGTTCACTATCTTCATCCTAAACCCACTCTAGTGATTAGACGCGCGATTTCAAAAACTTTGCAAACCACCCACCACTGCGCGTCCGCGCAGGTCGGATGCTGATCCCACAGAATCTCCACCATCTTTTTCTTT